GATGGGTTCCCAGGATTGTCTTTTAGCCTCCTCTTTCAGACATGGAGCTGAAGATGCTAAAGAGATGCAAAGAGAAGCAAACAAACAAAACGCCTCCCCAGAAGCCTATTCTCTTTAGGTAAATGAGCAGGAAAGGGGCAGCCTAGCAAAACAGAAAACTCTGAGATAGTAACCACTCACTCCAGCTAAAAACCACAGGGAAAAAAAAAAATTAGGTGGCTCCACTCCCTCCCACACCAGCAAAGGAGGAGTGAGAGCCTGGACTTCCTGCCTCACCAGGCTATAACAAAGGATCCTAATTGCGCCCCTCCCTCAAAATATACATACACCAAGTCTGTGAGGGTGATGAGGACCTGGAATTTCCCACACACACCTGACAACAAGACCTCTACCTCCTTGGTGTGAGGGGAGACCCGTTGAAGAGCCTGAATTCTGAGTGCACATAACAGTTGCAAGGCACCCCTCTCCAGCCCTCCCCGTGGGTGGTGTCAGAAGCCTTGGGGAGTCAGGACTGCCACCACTGGTCAGAGTGATGAGGCCACATGCAGACTAAAAAACAATGTATAGACTATACCATTTTTGTATATATGTGCCAAGGGAAAAATGGATAGGATAAAAACCAAAATGTCAATGGTGGTTATAGTTTATCTGGTGAAATCATGGTTAACTTAAAAAATACATTTCCTTTTGCACTTCTGTATTTCAGTTTTCGACCAAGATTTTTGCAATGGGCACATGTAATGTACTTATGTAAAAAGAAAACACGTCAATTATTTTAGGTGATCTCTTAGGAAAAAGAGTATTGTACATTCCCCCAGCCAAGTTTCAAATAAAAATAACAACATGAAATAACTTTTAAGAAATGGATGGAGAGGTGTCTTTCTGTTGATTAATTTAAGAATTTTCTCAATGTATTAGTTAACTTTGAAGATTAGTGTAGGATAAAACAGCTGCAACAAGAAATGAATATAAGATAGTAAAACAGTTTCTCAAATCCATTAATGTTGAGTTCCTAAAGAATCTTTGTGGCACCCGTAAAAAGAGATCTTGTCATTTTAAAAAGCTCTTGAACTTGCTCATTCTGTAGGCCTGTGTTTAAACACACAGGATATTATTATATAACTAAGCAGCTGGGTGGCTTAATCATGATTAAAAATAAAAAGGAAAACACACAGAACATGAAGGCAGGACTGTTTAATAAGAAAAGTGAGACTCAAAGGAAAACAGTATTTGTATAGGGTAATATAAAAGTCAACCCATGGACTTACCAACTAAGAATAAAGACATTCTCTTTTACATCAAATTCAAATGGTACTGCTTCGCCAAAGACATGATTATACCAGGGAAAAAATACAACTATCCACAAGCATATACAAAAATATATGTATTATGGACCATTTATGAAATGCTTATTCTCAAATTTCATGCTGTTCTTTAAACCCAATCTCAATGGGGCCATGAATTATTTATTTTCAGCCTCACTTTTCCTTCCTCACGCCGATTCCCAATTGTTCCTGACAACCTAGTTTCTTAAAAGCCATATACACTGACCAACCCCCACCTCTATGACACACTCGCAATTCCTCCTTCACGTATTGTCCAAACCCACCAGTGATTTCCAAGAGCCATCACCCCCACCTATCACTAACACAAAGATTTATGAAACAGCATCAATAATCTATGGAAGGTTCTGAGAACACACAGAAGAATAAGACATCTTGGACCTCCCTGGTGGCTCAAGAGTTGAGATGCAACCTAAGAAGCAATCCGCAGCCACTGCAGCATGAGTTCGATCCCCAGCCAGGGAGCAACCCACATGGCGCAGCAGACCTCTCCTGACTCACCCGCTGCTCCCCTCAGCAGGGTATTTCAGTCAATCTGTCTGTTCTGTTCCCCACTGTCTCTGGTGAATCCTCTCACCCCCCACACCTCTGGCCTGTACCCCAATTCTCATATGCATAAATAAATAAATCTTTAAAAAAATAATAAAACATCTTGCACTCATAGGACTTTGACTGAGTGAGGGACAGATGGGTAAACAATTAAAAATAGGAAAACTTTCAGGAGAAAGCATAGCTATGCTTCATGAAACTAGCTTCAAGTTGGCCATCACTTGTTATTAATCCATTCCCCACAAATTCTCCTAAGCTGTCCATCACAAACTGGGAGCTTATAGAGTAAGCAAGTAACATGTGTATGAATAGGTTAGGTGTGTAAGACAGCTCACGCTGTGGCCTGTGGCCACATGGAGAGTACACATCCTGTCTGAAGGCATTCAAGTTCATTCTTTTTTAAACATCAAGCCTACAAAACAAAACATGCCTGAAGGGCCTAATGTGATTCAGACTGCCAGTTTGTGACTTCTGTACAATAACATTTACTGTTTACTACATGCAGGTCACAATTCTAAGCACATGACATGTCTTAGCTAATTTGCTTTCCACAACCCTCAAGATTATGATGATTTTGTCCATTTTACTAACGGAGTTCATATAATACTGCTGAGGTTACACTGCTGTGAAGGTGATAGAGCTGGGAATTGAACCAGGTGCTTTATAGCACTATACTGCACTGTATCTAAATTTTTAAAATTTGCTCAGCTTATACTACAGAATGTTGCATATTTAGTAATTTATTTGTGCTTGTTGTTGAATAAATTCTTTTAATAGGTATGTATGATTTGATGGAAAAATGGGTATTTGTTTATCTTTTAATTGTTCCATAAACTGATCACATTTCCTTCCTACCACTGTCTTACTCATTAGAAGGGTCCTAAGTTTTAAGAAGTAGCTTTACAGTAATCCAAGAAATGTATGTTCATTATAGGAAAAAAACAGGTAGAGTGAAGTGTAGAGTTATTTAATGTAGTATTTAATGTAGCCTTCCCAGTTCTGAGTGGTTTCTTGCTCAGTCCTCGTTATGGATACAAACAGTAGTTCAGACAAATTGAAAATAAACAATTTTCAATTACACAATTTTCAATTACCATCTGCATGTTTACAACTCTGTGGATCTTTCTGGAAAGGCAATCAATTAGGCCAATGTCTTCAGAGAAATCTTATTTATATGAGCTAAAACAAATTGAAGGGCACCTGGGGATTAGCTGAAACAGGAAAATATAAACTCCCAAGTCTTTGATCTCAATTCAAAAAGTTTCACTAGACGAGGGGCTGTGGTCACTTTTTATTCACAAATTTTCCTAAGTACTCTGGACATTACATTCTGTTCTTTTTACTTAAGTGAATTAAGCTAAAAAATTAAGTCTTGACATACCCCATCCATTCTCCCTCCCAGCCTTTATTCACACTGCTCCCTCAGACATGCTCTGCTCCCCAAACCCTGGCTCCTACCCAAACTTCCTGACAATTCCTGCATGCCACATCCTCTGGGAAACCTTCTTGGACTTCCACAGTGGTGATTATGCCCCTGATGAATATACTCAGTGACCAGCACTCAATATCTATTTCAATTACCTATTTATTTCACTCTCACCTAATTTGTAGTGGGAATTTATATAGCAACTATAAACTAATTTGTACCTGAAATTTATGCAGTAACACTTACTTATAAAAAAAGTTGTGCCCTTGAGATTTTTAAACTTGTTTTACAATCTCAAGAATGGTAAAAAAAAAAAAAAAAAAAAAAAACTAACAAACACGAGTTGTGGGCTTTGGCATTAAAATAAGGATATGGCATCCACCTCTAATTTTAATGACTGTATGACCTAGAACATAATATCTCTGAGGCAGTTTTATCATTTGGAAAGTAAAGACCCACTTCTTCTATGAAGATTAATGTATAAGAAGACAGTACATCACCTGTCCAAATTTGCACTGAAGTTCACACAAGTGTTAGACGCTGTTCTATTTCTCATAAGTAATTTAATTTCATCAGAAGATTTAACCAGTGAGAAAGAATACTGCTGTTGATTGGAAACTGCCCAAAACATATTTTATAAAATATTTAATTTTACGTACATTGAGATTAATTAGTAATTTATACTTAACATTTTTTTTCTCTGTTGCTCTCCACCTACTTAAGAATCAAAATACATCTTAAACGGTTTGAAACTGTACCTCTCTCCAGCCACCCTGGAGCGCAAGCAGTTGAGTGCAGCGCTGTGAAGCTGTCGTGAAGCTGCAGTAGCCTCTGCAGTGCCTGTTCAATCCTGTCAGCCGCGGAGGTACCCACATGGCGCAGCAGACCTCTCCTGTCTCGCCTGCTGCTCCCCTCAGCAGTGTATTTCAGTCAGTCTGCCTGTTCTGTTCCCCACTCTGTCTCTGGTGAATCCTCTCATTCTCCCACACATTTGGCCTGTACGCTGGTTCTTGTATAAGTAAATAAATCTTTAAAAAAAAAAAAGACACTGTATCTCTCTTCTCTCCTTTAAATCACTCTAACCAAAAAATAGAGATTTGATAAATGGAAAACAATGTTGGCACCATCTACGGGAGTATCTTTTATGCCGGGAAATTAATAGTACAGTATATTAATAGTACAGTGTCACCAAGTAAGACCCTATCTTAATCTCTAAGTGACTGGAAACTTATGTTCATCCAAATCTCAAAGCATCAAATTTGAAATGGTTTAGGAAGTATTTTGAAATTATTTACTTTGTAGTAAATTGGTTGCTGAGCCAATAAAGAATAAGTAATTCAGGGCCTCCCCGATGGTGCAGCGGTTGAGCGCTGGGTTGCGGAAGCTGCCCGCAGCCTCTACAATGCCGGTTCGATCCCCAACTGCTCCCCGGCCACCGGAGGAGGGTCCCACATGGCACGCAGACCTTTCCTGCTGCCCGCTGCTCCCCTCAGCAGTGTACTTCGGTCCTTCTGCCTGCTCTGCTCCCCGCTCAAGCTCTGGTGAATTCTCTCACCCTCCCCGCGCTTCTGACTGTACCCAGTGCTTGTATAAATAAATAAATTTTAAAAAAAATCTTTAAAAAAAATAAACACTCACACACACAAACATAAAAAAAAAAAAGAATAAGTAATTCAGCTGAGTGTTTAAACCTTTCTTTTTAAGACTCTTAGACAGGAACCAAGATACTCAGCAGCTGATTGCTGCCAAATTTAACCTGGGAAGATCCACAGACAAAGCTTACTAACAAAGACTGTCTCTAAAGAACTCTTCAACCCTAGATTCATTCAGAGTCCCAAGAGGAAATATGTCCCATTTCCTTGTACTTGCCTTTTTTACGTAAGGTAAAAGACTCTTGAAAGAGTCCCACAATTAAACTAAGAGGGTATGTTTTCAGCATCAGCATTCAACTAAGATTATACTAATGTATACAGTTACATTGCACATTCACACAATTATATATTTATTAACCTCTACGTGCTGTAAATCAGAAGCCATTTTAGATGCTAGGGGATCTCAAGATTTGAATAAACCAATGTTTGCTCTCAGGTTTGAGTTTTATTTGCAAAAATGTTATATTTTAAGTCATTACTAATCCAAATAAAGTAATTCACAGCTGAAGCCAAAAGGTGCTAAAATCAGAGGTAGGTGGGCAGGAGACAAGGCCATTGAAAAGGCAGGAAAACTGGCATAATCCTGGTCTTGGGAATCAGAGGCTCATTCACAATCCAGATCTGCCAATTACCAGCAATGCAAACAATTTTATTTTTTGCAATTAGTGTATCTTCTATAATGAAAATTTTTCATTGCCAATTTCTTTTTTTTTTTTTTTTTTTTATTACTTCACAGGGCTTTAAGGAAGACCAAATGAGAACACTGATGAAAGTATATGCTTATTGCTGTATGGCTCAACTAGTAGAGCAGTTTTGAAAAAAATGTAGTATCCTCTTAATGAATGTTCAATACTAGTCACAATAATGCTGAATGACAGAAAGTGAAGCAGTGGGTTTAAAAAAAAAGTAAAAGTTTTCAAATCAGCCAGACCTAAAGCCAAATTAGGGTTCCAGCTCTTGTCAGCCAGTTGTCTTACCATAAAGCTGTTGTATCATGGATAAATTTTTACAGGGTTGAGGAACTGAGGGATACAGAGCCTTCAATATAGTGACCAACACTCTTCAAATATTAAATTCACTCTCTGTGACCCCTAAATAAACATATTTTCCAGCCATACTGGACACCTGACTATTGGTTCAGCATGTAAAGGCGCACTACCGGTGAGGAAGGAAGCATTCTCTCCTTGACCTGTGGTAGCTGAAGGATGGCCTGCAGCTCAAGCTTTGCTAAAACAATGTCCCTCCGGGGGCTCCACCTTCACTGGGACAGCACAGCAGACACAGTCGGGGCTAGTGGTGATAACGGCAGTGCTTGTGGTACAACGTGGACAATTTCTCCCCTCAGCAACTTCTCACCATTTCTGTAAGCTACTCACACCCATCCAATGAATTCCTTTTCTTCTTAAGTGAACTGAGGCCATTCCGTTGTTTGTAAAGAAGAACCTTAACTACTATACTTTAATAAAACTAACAAAAGTAAATTAGCATCAGTACCATAAAATAATTTTAATATCTTTTTCTCCATGACTGAATATACAAAGATAATGGAAGTAGTGTGTTCTTCTGCTGTAAAGATGGGTGGAAAACATCAAAATCCACTTGTTGAATTTTCTTTAAATAGTCCTCCAGAGCAATCTGGAAAAAGAGTATAGGGATCACCAGATCATAAAATGAGTAAGCTTTAAAAAGAAAATTATAAGTATTAAGACTATTTTAGCATCCCTGAGATGGTTTTCTAAATGAGAATTTTAAAAGGGAAAGAGAAAATAAAGATAACTTCTAAGAAGTTTCTATTAAACCAGTAAACAGTATCACAGAACTATTACTAGAAGTATCTAGCTTCTGACTGTAATTTGTAGTGTTCTGGTTAAAATGTAAAAGTTTAGGGCCTCCCTGGTGGCATAGGCGGTTGAGCGCAGTGCTGTGCAGCTGTCCGCAGCCTCTGCAGTGCCAGTTCAATCCTCGCCGGCCTCGGAGCAACCCACATAGCAATCAGACCTCTCCTGTCTGGCCTGCTGCTCCCCTCAGCAGTGTATTTCATCAGTCGGCCTGTTCTATTCCTCGCTCTGTCTCTGGTGAATCCTCTCACCCTCCCGCGCATCTGGCCTGTACCCCAGTTCTTATATAAATAAAAAATAAAATCTTTTAAAAAATAACAAAATAAAGTGCAAACGATTAGAGAAATTATAATTTGCAATGTTTTACTACTGGCCTCTATGGACAACAAAAGGATGTTTCAGTCAAGGAAAATGATACCCTCATCTCCTCCCACCTGCACTGTGCCACAAGAGGGAGCTCAAGTTATTTGTTTAAAAACATTATTTTGTGAACAGGGTTTCCTATTCTTGCAAGATGGTCATTTGCAACCAGGGAGAAGAACAGGTCTCCATAAAAGTCAGCCCATGCTTCCTCTAACATACAAAACCTGACAAAGTTTTATTGAAAGGGGAACAGCATGGAAAATACCCGCAATGGACAGCACGTTTTATTTCTGGGGTTTCAGTTATTGTTAATTTATAATATGTTTAAGTAACTTTTTTAATAAACAGAAACCATTTAGTGGGCCTCCCCTGTTGGCGCTGCGGTGGAGCGCTGGGCTGTGAAGTTGCCCGCAGCCTCTGCAGCGCCGGTTAGATCCCCGGCTGCTCCCCGGCCACAGGAGGAGGGTCCCGCATGGCGCGCAGACCTCTCCTGCCGCCCGCTGCTCCCCTCAGCAGTGTACTTCGGTCCTTCTGCCTGCTCTGCTCCCCGCTCTGGCTCTGGTGAATTCTCTCACCCTCCCGCGCTTCTGACTGTACCCAGTGCTTGTATAAATAAATAAATCTTAAAAAAAAAAAAAAAGAAAGAAAGAAACCATTTAGTTTTGCACTACACGATTTTGAGGCCTCACTTCCTTCTCAGTCTACGCACACAGCACCCCCTAGAGTTCCACAGCACAATCCGTGTGATCCAACAGAGATTATACTTGTAGTCTTTAGCATGCAGATGACCAAAAAATAAAAACCCAAAGAGTAATGTATTTGCTCCCACAGTTTTTTTATACACTTATAAATATAGCATACATACAAATTCAGTATCTACTCTTTAAAACCAATATATACAATAGGAAATGTCCCTGAGTGTGCTTATCTGCTTTATGTTATATTAGTAAAAACTGCAAACAGCCCAGAAGTTCATTGCCAAGAAAAACAAAATAATTTTTTCACACAGTGAAATATTGTACTGCAGTAAAATGAATGCACACTATATATAGCTGGATGGATTTAAGATAAAGCTTATAAAATGTATGTGTATAAAAGAGAGCAAGAGATCCTAGAAGATAAACAGAAAATGACCTGTTTTTTAAAGCTCAAAACCAAAACTAAGCAACATGCTTTTCAAAAAATATCAATGCCAGACGGAGAAGGGATTCTCCTCTTCCCAGGTGAGGAAACAGCATGTGAAAAATCAGATTCTTAAAAATACAAGGTCTTTGGAAAACTGGAAGCATTTTAATTATGCTAGAATATTATATATGTAAAGGAGAGAACTTTATGTCTTATGTAAAAGATCTAAATAAAGATAATTTTTATCGAAGAGGCTGAAAAGAAAAAGATAAACTTTTGCAAGGTGAGACTTCAAGACATGCCTCCTGATAAATGCAATATGAAGTACAAATCATCACCTAAAATTGTCAAAAATGTGCTAACCTTGACCTAAGAAAACCAGCAGATACAATTCCAAATTCATAGTAAATATAAGGGATAGAAGGGGAAGTTAATCCCTAAGGAAGTAAACAAATTCATATAATAAGACATTTCACAAAACAACTGTTACGTTAATGCCATGTTAATGCAAGAAAACAATAAAAATTATTATAGATTTTAAAAAGACCAAGCACTACAGGTAGGTCTTAACCTCAATTTTGATTTGAACAAATCAACCATAAAAACACCTTTTGGGAACAATCAGGGAAATGTGAATATGGACTGGTTGTTAGATTATACTAAGGAAACATTTAGTTTTATTCTATGTGATTAGGTATTTATGATTAAAAAAGGGGGGGGAAAGATGCTGAGAAAGAACAAAGCTGTGGACATCATACTCCTTGATTTCAAACTATATCACAAAGTTATAGTACTCTAACAGTATGATACTGTCACAAAAACAGACACATAGATCAATGGAAAAGAATATAGAACCCAGAAATAAACACATGTATATGGTCAATTAATTTATGACAAAAGAGTCCAAAAAAGATTGGTAAAAGGACAGTCTGTTCAGTAATATTGGGAAAACTGGCCACATACAAAAGAATGAAACTAGGCCACTCTTTTACACCATATACAAAAACTAACTCAAAAAAATTAAAGACTTGAATGTAAGACCCAAAACCATAAAATTCCTAGGGGAAAAAAAGGGTGGTAAGTTCCCTGACATAGATCTTTTTGATTATTTTGGATATTTTGGAGATCGTAACAAGTGAAACGACATCAAACTAGAAAACTTTTGCAAAGCAAAGGAAACCATTAACAAAATGAAAAGGTAACCTATGGGATAGGAGAAAATATATACAAATAGTATATCTGACAAGAGGTTAATATTTAAAATAGATGAAGAATTAAAATGACTCAATAGCAAGAAAACAATTCAATTTTAAAATTGGGTAGAGAGCAACACGCATTTTCCAAAAAAAGACATACAGATCACCTACAGGTACATGAAAACATAACTAATCATCAGGGGAATACAAATCAAAAATACTCATTAGAAAGGCTAGTACCGAAAAGATAAGAAATAACAAGTATTAGAGAGGATGTTGAAAAAGGGAAATTAATATAAAGTTGCATGTCAATACATCTCAAAAAAATAATAATAAAAATAAAAATTTTAAAAAGATGTCCCTTTTTGGGAATATTTACTGTTTAGGGAAATAAGACACTTCAAAAAAACCTCAGGAAATCAATAAAAGGAACAAATTTAGCAACATATTAGAAACTTAAATCCCAAAGATGGTATTTGGCAGCTCATTATGGTATTAAATCTACTTTTCTGTAAGTTTAAAAATAATTTTCATACTAAAGTTAAATGTGTAATCCATCGATGATTCCACTATTTGAAAATTATTTCTTCTTTTATTTCAGATGTCACTTACATAAACTGAAAATAAACACATTTCGTGAATTTCAAAAAAAAAAAAATATATATATCAATGCCAGGATCCAATCTGATACATGTCATAATTGTTTTGGGAGGGGTCCAACACTGTTGTGTGTCCCCTCCCCCCATCTACCTCTGCCCAATCCCCAAGTGATTCTAATGGACAGAGTTGAGAACAATCTTTTGCAGAGAAGTAAACAAAACAAAGTCTTTAACCTTCATGGAGCTTACTTAAATAAGTTGATTGTTTATCACTAAAAACCATTAAAACCAAATAACCAAATAAATAATCACTAAAAATGATGATATAAAATAATACATATTGACATAGAGATGTTTGATATCCCATGTATATAAAAAATAGATATCTAATTATATAAACATAAAAAGTCCAGACAAATAGACATTATCTCTGGAAAGGATAAAAGTATGAAAATATTCTAATTTCTTCTTTTGCATACTCATATTACATGAATGTTAAAAATATCAATTTACTACTTTTTTTTTTTTTTTTAATAGAGGCATGTTTTATTTATTTATTTGTTTGTTTGTTTGTTTTGTTTATACATGCACTGGGTACAGTCAGAAGCGCGGGAGGGTGAGAGAATTCACCAGAGCCAGAGCGGGGAGCAGAGCAGGCAGAAGGACCGAAGTACACTGCTGAGGGGAGCAGCGGGCGGCAGGAGAGGTCTGCGCGCCACGTGGGACCCTCCTCTGTTGGCCGGGGAGCAGCCGGGGATCAAACCGGCGCTGCAGAGGCCGCGGGCAGCTTCGCAACCCAGCGCTCAACCACTGCGCCACCGGGGAGGCCCAATTTACTACTTTTATAATAAGCAAACCCAGTAAAGAAACAAAATTATTTTGAACATTCAGATCTGAGACCTAGGATGGATGATATGAAAGCAGAAATAAATCTTCAAATTTATTTTAGAGAAAATGGTAGAAGATATTTGGGTATTATGTTTTCAAAGATCATAAATATTTGAATATTGGTATCTTATCTATAAAATGAAGTAAATCTCAACTAAGATGACTACGAAAAATGTATGAAATAAGTCAGGGCTTGTCCTATAATATGTGCTAAATAATTGGTAGTTATTCTCATTTTTTAAATATATTTTGCAACAATGGCTCCTGAACCAGTGGAACTTTTTAAGATCACAGATTCTTCTAGAAATTGCCCCCGACGCCCAATACTGCAAGTTTTATACAGTAAGAAGATCCCAGAATCTATATTTTCAAAAAGTCTTCCTGGTTTTTCAGATGCAGCCAGCCCAGCAGTGATCTGTGAACAACTATTGAGGAACCAGTGGTACAACATGGTCATTACAGAGAAAAAATTAATAGGAAAAACTAATATTCATATAACTAAAAACTAATTATTTATATAGCTGTTAGTAGCCTAACACTCCTTTAGGGTAGCTTCTTTTGTGATTCCCATTTTACTTGTACATAAACTGAGGAACACAGTTGTCCCAAGCTCAGTAAGTGGCAGAGCCAACTGAAACTCCTGTAGTTTGACTACAGTCAACACGAAGGACAACTCAACTCACTGCCTGGGGGAAACACAGGGGTGACTATCTTCAAAAGCAGAATGCAATTAACAAGGCTCACCGTAAGGAAGGGAGACAAAAACAAAGACTCCAACTAAAGAACCGCACTGGGAACTTTATAAAACAGATCATACACATCTGCTTTATTAATTATACTGCCTTTGCCTTCTATGTTAATCAACTCACCGTCTGAAGAAAAGCAGGAAATGCTTTCACGGGAACACTTTTGTGGAAGGATCTAGCCTAAAAAGGAAAACAAAAGGAAATTGGTTTGAAATATAAATATTTCTGGAAATAAATTCTCCCTCTGAAAGTGAATACAAAACAACTTTAGCAACTTAACATGAGTAGGGCCTCTCTCAAAAAAATAGTTCTCATCTCCTGGGGATTAATTTCCTAAGCTTGCAGGCCTCAGTAAAAAGTGCTTATTAAGAATTCCATTCTTTTGTACAGGTTGACTTTGGTAGTTTTCAACTGCCTTATAACATCTTATGGTAACTTTGACCCTTTAGCTCTATAGCAAGAGGTAAATAAAGAAATACTTAAAGAAAAATACCGGATGGTCTCACTCATAGCAGGAATCTAGAAAACTTAAATAAGGGACCAGGAAAATGAATAACTATAAGAAAGTGAAAATCAAAATCAACAAAAAACTCTGAACCAGAGACACTTTTAGGGGGGCGGGGGTGGGAGGGGAGGGATTGGGGTCAGAATGGGGGGGGCTGCAATTGTATGGGGAATATAACAATAAAATTTATTAAAAAAAAAAAAAAAAAAAAAGAAATACTTAAGTTAACAAACCCCAGCACCTCCCTAGTTTTGACCTCTAGCTCCTGCTTAGCTGAATATAAGATCTAAATTGCTCTTCCTTCCCGCCTTCCCTTTAATTCAGTTCATACAGCTAGCCAAAGTAATGTCCCAAAGTCATCATTTTTTTTTAATTTCTTTGACCCAATTCTGTGACAGATCAAGTCTCAATTATTCATCTTGGAATTCAAAGGCCTCTACATCTTGACTCTAACCCTGTCTCCCTAAGCTAACTTCCTACTACTCTGGGCTAAGAAACCCTAGTCCAGTCAGCCTGGTGCCCATCCTGTACTCATTAAGCCCAATTATGTCTGCCAACCGTCTACTAAAATTGCTCTCTTCCATCAAGATCATCCATGATATTGTAATCACCATACCCATCTTCTCTCTTCAATCTCTCTGTAATATGCAAGACTTTATAACATTTCCCTTTCCTGGAATTTTCTCCTCCCTGGGTTTCTAAGGCACTGATTCAATTCTACTTCTTTGATCTTTCTTTCTTTGTCTTTCTAATAAATGGACCCTTCTTCTACCTGAGAAATGGAAGTGGATGTCAAGGTTCTGCCCTTGTCTAGATGTAACCATAAACCATAAACTTCCTATGTGCTTAGATGCCAAATTTAGAAGACAACAACAACAAGCTACAAGGTAAAAGGTACAAATTATCGGACAGGTATACTGAAAACCCAATTTGGGTCTGCTAAGGATGCAAGGCCCTGGAAAAGATGGGAGAGGAATTAGCAGGGTAGAAAGATATGCTATCCCCTGAAGGGCAGGGAGATGATGAGTAGATGGAGCAGAGAGAGCCTAATTGAGAAAACTGAGGCTTGACTTACTCAGTAAAAGGTGTGTTCAACTGCTGAGAGGGAAATAGGGGAATTTTTAAAATGTGGAGTAAGTTTACAATAGTCCCTGAGAGAGATCTATTGCAAATTCAATGACAGATGGAATAAAGACCACTAAGAGGGGATTACCATAACCATCCCTGGAGAATAGCCACATCTAGAAAGGCGTTTCATAAATGATTTAGCAAACAGAGGTGACTTACATGCTTTAGATGCAAGTGTGCCTGGCTGGCAATGTCATATACCACATCTCTCACATTTTTATCTTGGTTCTTCCGTAGAAAATCCTCTTGTGAAACACCATGCTGTGTGGGAAAATAAACATGATGTTAGGGAACTAAAAGCAGACTAAAACTAAGAAAACAGGTGGAAGAACAGTGTATACAGTATAATGCCTACTTTGTTTTTAAAAATGTGTGTGTGTCTATAAGAATATGCAACAAGGTATTAACAGTGGTTGTAGGTGGAACAAAAATATAGAAGAAAACATATATAAGAACTTTAAAAGAACAGACAACAATGGATCTCATTATTGAGAAAACAAAAGTTCTCATCTAAACAATTTTTTTATGGATTAATTTCTCTTTTAAAGTAATGAAAAGGCGGGCCTCCCCGGTGGCGCAGCGGTTGAGCGCTGGGTTGCGAAGCTGCCCGCGGCCTCTGCGGCGCCGGTTCGATCCCCGGCTGCTCCCTGGCCACCAGAGGAGGGTCCCACATGGCGCGAAGACCTCTCCTGCCGCCCGCTGCTCCCCTCAGCAGTGTACTTCGGTCCTTCTGCCTGCTCTGCTCCCTGCTCTGGCTCTGGTGAATTCTCTCACCCTCCTGCGCTTCTGACTGTACCCAGTGCATGTATAAACAAAACAAACAAACAAACAAATAAATAAATAAAACATGCCTCTATTTAAAAAAAAAATAAATAAATAAATAAATAAAGTAATGAAAAGGCTAAACTGAACACTAGAAATAATTACTGTAATTGCCTGGACAGGAGTAAGGCATCAACATTAAGTTATACCCAGTGAGGTTCTCTGAACCCTCTTATTTCATAGCTCCACCAGACATCTGAAATGCTAGCTGATAAAATTCTGACGTTATAACTCTGGAGTAAAAAAGCAATAAGCATTTGTTTCAAAGTAGTTACTTGACGAAACTAAACAAAAAACCAAGAGGTAGCTTCCCTTCCCATACTTCTGAGGTACATTATCAGAGGGTACAAATAAAAGCCATACCAGCATGCAAACATCCATAGGAAGGAACACTCTTCTTCTGCTACTATGATAGGGGGTTGCTCTCAAGCAAGTGACAATGCCTTGTGCTTTTCCAATGTGACTTGCAGCATGATCTGCATGGAGATCCTTTATACCTGGGATTTTAGAAATTAAACAATGCACAACAAATCAGTAAAAACAGCATGAGAAATCACCCACATACATAAAACTGGTTTTTATCCTATATGTTACATCTGAAAATCAGGATTTGTGAGAGCACACTGGGCCCTAAGACAAGCTGACCATTTACCACTAACAGGTTTCTGAACTTCAACTTTTAAATAAAAGAGTTTTTCCAAGACTCCAGCATACCAAGAACACATTTGGAATTTTAATCAGCTAATGTGGAAAAACATTACAAGTCTTCCATTTCTTCTCTTCGGTGCAATTTCCATATGACCTCATTTTAAGTATATACTTAACAAACGTTCTGCTCTTTGCTCCCTTCTTTCATTGTGTTGGCAAACATGTCACTAAGTGTGCAGGCAGAACAAGCCTGGGAAATTCAACAAGGACTTGTATTTTTCTTTTAGGGTGACATAAAGATCTATGACCTTCTTCAAATGGCTGGTATTGTCATTGTCCCAAATAATTTCCTCATTACAATCTTATTACAATAAGACTTCACCAACTCAGAACAAAGTTAGAGAAGGAAAAGTATCATCTAAATTAGTTTGTTTTTTTAAAAAAAATCTCCTAAAAACTTTTAGAGATGCACTTTGTTTTCTCCTACTTTTTTTTAACTTGGAAAAGTAAGGCCACAGGTCCTCCAAAATGTAGGAGACACGGGCCTCCCCGGTGGCGCAGCGGTTGAGCGCTGGGTTGCGAAGCTGCCCGCAGCCTCTGCAGCACTGGTTCGATCCCCGGCTGCTCCCCGGCCACCAGAGGAGGGTCCCACATGGCGCGCAGACCTCTCCTGCCGCCCCCTGCTCCCCTCAGCAGTGTACTTCAGTCCTTCTGCCTGTTCTGCTCCCCGCTCTGGCTCTGGTGAATTCTCTCACCCTCCCGCGCTTCTGACTGTACCCAGTGCTTGTATGCATGTATGTATAAATCAATCAATCAATAAAAATAAATAAATAAATAAATTAAAAAAAAAATGTAGGAGACACTATTATAACAAAGTAAAATCACCTATAATTAATTACAGCATTCCCATGAGGTACCTAAACACTTTTATGAAAGCCTCAGCATTTTAATTAGTCTGCACTCCAAAGAAAGGTATACTTAATCCCCTTCTTGCTTTAAAAAATAAAGAAGAAAAACTGTTCTTTTACAGATGGTACAAAGAAAAGCTTCTGTGTTGAACTGGTTAGACTGTCAAATTATGAAAGTGTGAAGTATGAAAGGTATCATCTTTGAATGAGTGTGAAATTAAAAAAAAACAAAAACTTACCCAATGTTTCTAGTGTTAAATAAAGAAGAGAGCTCTGTGTGTTTTCAGCATAATTTTCCAGTTCCTGAATATTACGATATGCTTTGTCATCCAAATTTTTTTCCTATAGTCAAGCGAAATTCCAATAAAGTTTGCTAAATTGTCAACATTTTATAAAGAGAAGGCACTGTTCTTTTTTATGTAAAGAACTGAATAATAAAGAATAAGAATATTTAGTAAATATAGTTAAGTACAGAAAAAATAAGGTTAAATTTAAATTAAAGTTTTATAGATTAATACTTATGAATCACCCCTTCAAAATAATACTGCAGGAATAATTTCAATGCACAACTTACCATCGACATGGGGTCAGCCTAATTTTAATTTCTTTAAATCTAAGGTATCATGAGAAACTTACTATACTGAGTTCTTATTTAAGCACTTTTGACATTATTTTCTTAATCTTAACAACCTTCCAAAAGATAATGAATTAATGCTTTTTTCATTTTGTGGATGAAAAAATAGTCACAATACATCAAGTTGGTCACACAGCTAATAAGTGATGAGGACAGGATTCAAACCCATACCTTTTGACTAAGCCTATGCTCTTAACAAGGAACAAAATGCCTAGAAAAAAGAAAGTAAAATGCCTCCTCTACGTACCCCCTAAAAAAAGAAACCATGCTCAACTAATTAACAGGGTGATTACCCAAACACACTATATCTGAGAAACAGAAAATGTAAATCTTAGAGTAAAAACACCTAGCCACTATAAAAATTCTACTGCTGAGGTAGAATTATCTCCCACCTCTTACTCCTATTTTTAATCAGGAAAAATTGTTACCAGCAATCATCCTGGGGAAAATATGTGCAGGTCAATGAATTCATTTCCATATGAATTTAGGATCAGCCTATCTATTTCTGCAAAAAAGGCAGAATTTTTATAGGAACTGCATTACCTCTACAGGCCAATGTAGGGAGAATAATCTTAGCCCTTTACTTTTAAAAATACCTCTCAAAAAATGCCAAATGTTATTTTCCATTAAACAAAAGCAACTCTGTTTTGAGTTCTCTAATTTTCTGAAAAATAGATACCTCAGTACTAATTGATTCTATAGAGGTCAACTGAAATATATTTTTTTTTTAATGTTGAATACATTATCTCTTTTGGCTTATATTATTAATACTAAAGTATGTGGCTATTGATAGCATATATTCAAATAAACTAAGTAAACTTAAAATTTCATGACAACAGCATGTGATAAATATCAGGTCAATGAGGACACTGAGCCAACAATAAATCAGAAAAATTACAAAAGTTGACCAGGTCATAGAGCAATTTGCAAGCTTGGCTGGAACTAGAACCCAGTTCTAAGAACTCAGTACAGGAACCATTAGACCTCTCTTTTCCCCTCTATTCAAAAGATACCAAGTATTAGGTGTATATAGTTATGTGTGTATATAGTTACATGTGTGTATATAATTATGTGTATTAAAGGATCATTCATAATTTTTAAGGTATGATTATTAAATTGTATTCTTATGTTTTTAAAAGTTTTTATCTATATATTTAAGACCAAATGACATCATGTCTGAAATTTGTTTTTAAGTAATTCAATGGGCGTTAGTGAAGGGAGTTGCTAGAATATAGATGAAATAAGACTGAACATGTGCTCATAACTATTAAAGCTGGATGACACATACATGAAAGTATATTATACTATTCTCTCTACTTTTGTGTAAGTCTGAAAATTTCCATTTAAAATGACACCAACATAGTAGAGTGTGGGTGTGCACATGCATGTCTCTGCCTGGGTGCCTGTCTTTGCCTGTCTGTCTCAAAGTGTTGGGGCAGGGAACTGAAATGGGTAGCATGCAGTAGTGGAGAATGGTTAAAACAGCACAGTTATCTAAAAATTCCTTCCTCCAACATATTAATACATGTATTAGAACATTTTCTCTCTAGAGAATTAGTTTAAAAATTGAAAAGGAGGAAAAAACTTAGTTTAGCAATTTCAGCTTACCCTTTCATCAATGATTTTCATAAGCCATCTTTAGTCAGATTATGTCTTTTGACAGCCTAAAAAACAAGAGTGTTTTAAGTATTAGAAAGTACTAGAAATGACTTCTATGGGCCAGAATAAACAAACCAAATACAAAACCAGGTAAGGGAATATTTTAATAAATAACTCATCACCAGAGGTATGACTGTGTTCAAGAAATATCAGGGAAAAAGAAAATGCCCCCAGGAAACATTTCCAAGCAAAGATAATACATCCAAAACTTTTCCACTAACCTTCCTTGTTCTTAAAACTACTCGTAATTTAACAATTCCACTTTCAAAAGAAAAACAAAACAAGAATTAAATACTGAGCTTCTGTTATGTAATGCACCCTGACTTCTTTGTTTACTTATTACATACCTACTTCTTTCCTCAGGATAAAGATTCTATTTAATGAAAATAACCAGTTCTCCAAAAAAGAAAAGAGTAAAACTCAATAATTATCTGCAGGGTAAATGTTATGTTAGCAAATAAGGATAGCCCAATAGGGAAGACCACCTAATACCCAGCTCCTGGTCTCTAATAACATTCTTCCAAAGGAAATGTATGAGTCTAGAGCTGAGGTAACAGATTCAAGATGACCACAGAAAATTTTATTGTGACAGAAAATAGAAAAATGCTTTAAAAAATTTAGTGATGAATTATAAACTACTGAAAAATCCAGAATTCATTAATGTATACCAATAATTAATTTAAAATATATAGATGCAAGAGAGTAAGCTCTTGCTTATAGCAGAATGCCATATGCCAACTGGTAAATGCGGACAGGGTGCTGCAGTTTGGAAATTATCATTCTGAAATCATACTAGTAAAGACTGAATCATACAATGAATGCTAAGTTTAGCAGGAAACTAATGAAGAGCAGGATATTTTCATAGTCAAAGTGGATTGGTTGCAACAGGAATTATAATGATACAATGGAAAAGCCAGGCAATAATTTTGATGAAAACATCAGGCAAACCCCAAATGAGAAATGTTCTACACACACACACCCCCCAAAAAAATAAATAAAAATAAAAAAAGGAATGTTATATTTAAAAATCTCAGCACCATAGAAGACAAAAAGAAGCTATAGGTATGTTCCAGATTAAAGTAGGCTATGGAGACATAACAACTAAATACCTGACCCTAGACCAGATCTTATACTAGAGAAGAGAAATACTATAGTAAACATTATGGGTCAACTGTACAAAACTGGAATATAAACAGAAAATTACACAGAAGTATTATATTGTTAATTTACTAAAGTCACTAACTGCCCTGGTTATATAAGAGAATATCCCCACTCTTAGCAAATACGAAAATATTCAGGGAATAAAGGGCCATGATGTGTGTGTGTGTGTGTGTGTGCGCGCGCATGTGTGTAACTTACACCCAAACACTTCAGGAAAAAATTGAGCATGAAAATACATATATACATGAGAGAACTCACACACACTTGTGAGTAAATATGCACAGATGATTAACAAATAGGATAAAATGTTAGCAGTAGGTGAATCTGGGTAGAATATAGAGATATTCTTTGTACTATTTTAAATTTTGAAAGTTTGAATTTATTTCCAAATAAGTTTTAGAAAAACTGTTTACTTGCTAAGTCAACACTAAATATATTTTTACAACAAATATGGCACTAAAACATTGTCTTAGGAATAGCTTATATTTCCCTTTTTTTAAAAGACTTATTTTTTATTTCTTTATGTATACAAGAACTGGAGTGCAGGCCAGTGGGGGGGTGAGAGGATTCACCAGAGACAGAGTGGGGAGAACAGACAGATCTACTGAAATACACTGTTGACAGAAGTAGCAGCAGGCGGACCTCCCGGTGGCGCAGCGGTTGAGCGCTGGGTTACGAAGCTGCGCTCAGCCTCTGCATCGCCGGTTCGATCCCGGCTGCTCCCCGGCCACCTGAGGAGGGTCCCACATGGCGCGCAGACCTCTCCTGACGCCCGCTGCTCCCCTCAGCAGTGTACTTCAGTCCTTCTGTCTGCTCTGCTCCCCGCTCTGGCTCTGGTGAATTCTCTCACCCTCCCGCGCTTCTGACTGTACCCAGTGCTTGTATAAACAAAACAAACAAACAAAAAAAATTAAATAAATAAATAAAGCATGCCTCTAAAAAATAAAAAAAAAAAAAAAAAAGAAGTAGCAGCAGGCAAGACAGGAGAGGATCTTATGGCTGCAGTTCCTTGACCACAAAAAAACAATTTTTCAGTCTGATTCTGAAGAAAGTGAGCGATCAAGGTAAAAAATAAATATTTAAAGAAGACAAAAACCCACCGAATAAAGTATCAACAACTTTGGAAACGGAAACCAAATAGAATGAAAACCTTGGCTATAAATATATATACAAACTGCAACTAATATTAATACACAGAGAAATGGAGAAGCCCATATGGAATGTATAAGAAATTACTGACATTTAGCTATTTTGTACCCTAAAAACACCAATGAAATAGCAGCACAAAAGGACTCTAAGGACAAAATATTGTCACTGCTTCCCTATTTAATCTTCTAAAGAACCCGACACTCTTCAAAGAACCAATGTAAAGTTTTACTGGACAGTGGTACAATAAGCATATGCTTCAACAGAACCATAAGGGACAGAGAAAACACAATGTGGACAACTGCTCTGAATGCTACCGGCTTCTTTCAAATATATATATTAACCTTCACCACTGGTCTTAGTAGAAAGCTGGCCTACATGAACCATCAAAATTTAAGCAGCTGTGAAAACTGGACAAATTGGTTCACATATAAACATTGCGTAATTTAGGTATGTCTTCTGGTTTTTTCAAGAGGAGCCAAAATAAGATAAATTTTTTCAAGAAATCTGATCTTCCATGGTATATCCTAACCTTCCATGAACCTTCCATAACCTTCCATGGAAGTCTTAGGATAAGCATCCCCTGCAGTCAGGTTGCTGTGTAAAATATTAGAATCTCTGGCTTTTAGAGAAACTTTTCTCTAAATTGAGTCACCAGATTAAGGTTCTTGAAGTGGTATGAAAAGATGTAAACAACCACCTATTACTCACAATTTCCTATCTACTTTTTCTTCTGGATCCCTGGCTTGGTGGGGGTGGGAAGTTGGGAGGATGGGGAGCTGGCTTTCATCCTTATTGAGATTCTGTGCAGTCACTCTGGGGCCCAGAAATGTGGCCTGCCTCTGCTGGTGTGCAGACCTGAGAAGAGGTGTACCACTGTCAGGTCTCTCGGTGGCTCCTGTTATAGAATCTGTCTTTTGGCACTCATCATTTTACAACGGGAACACAGGTCAGTGACAAAAGGCACCTAATTTCCTCCCTTTATTTTTTAACATACTTCTAAACTGAGCATGGTTCTTTATGAATGAAGGATCTATATAGCTGCTTTAATGTAAAATTATTTATTACATACATCTAGCTATACAAATAATACTATAGCCCAAAAGCTTTGATTCTTTAATATCTAAAATTTATCAATGAAACAGCAATTCTTTCAAAATAGATAAGATAATTTTGGATATGGCTGAACAATGGTGAGAGCAAATCTTCCTTCAAGAAAGATCCACTCAGGTCTTTCTACAGCCTGGAGTGTGGACTAAAGCACTGGAAAAGGAAAGAACAGGAAATTGACCTGCATTGCTTCAAAATTCACAGGTTTAAATTTTACAACCAATATGAGGAAGGTGAGTAATTCACAATACAAAGAGACCAGAATCCTCCTTTTTCCTTTAGTAAAAAATACACCAAAGATCAGTGCAAATTATTAGATGATTTTAAATTCCTTAGTCAAAACTAACATGGAGTTGAACATTACATGTGCCTAAGAACAGATCCAGGCCACATTCCCCATTGCCACTATCCAAATTATATGCATCAAAAAATAGGCTCAAATAACATTTACAAAGTAAAAGCAATTTTCTTTACCTTCCATAATTCAATGGCTACAGGCTGATGTGGTGGACTGTCACAGTATATATCATCCACAGTTTTCTTCCAAAATTGCATTCGCATCAATCCAATTGTTTTCTCAGAGATTGAGTCCTTAATCTATAAATAGGATTTAAAAATTATAACCAATATACTATTTTCAGTCTTGAAAATTGATATTTGTGACTGTATAATCACATAACCAGCCAAAAAACAAGTTTAATTCTACATATGTGGTTTAACTTTTCAGTTAAATTGTTGTCACTATTACTTTCAGTTAAACTGTTGTCACTATTAGTTTCCTAAATAAGAGCTGCAAATTACTTGGTGCTTATTTAAAAATATTTTCTAAGTCTGTATTCAACAACAGGAGATTTCTCAAGATAGAAAACAAAGAGAGGGAGAGGGAACAGTTAGATTTTAAAAAATTAAGAGGATGATGGTATTAAGAAATTATTGTTAAATTCTTAATGAATGGTAATGATGTTGTAGGGTTTTCTTTAAGTGAGTTATCTTTTAGAGATACATACTGAAATATAGATGGAAAATTTATCTGAGACTTACTTCAAAGTAATCTAGAGGTGGAAACGGTGAGGGCTGAACAAAAATTAAAACACAAGATTGACATTAAGTTAGTAATGGCTAGAGCTGGGTGATGGGCATCTAGCAGGTCATTATACTACTCTCTAATTCTTTGAAATGTTCCATGATAAAAAGGTTTTAAAAAATAAGTAAAAGAGAAGAAAAACCACCCTCATTAGGTTATTGATAGTAAAAATACTTTCAAGCCTGAAGATAAGGAAATAAAACCAGGGAAGGAAAATGTTTACAAGTGCTAGGCTCTGTGTTAGGGACTGCTCCAGAGATTATGTGGTCATAATCCCCGTAACAAATGCACCAGGTCATCACCAATACAGCCAAATATGCAAAATACAGTTCAAAAAGGTGGTTGTTTATCCCAAGCTCTACATACTCACAGCTCTTAGAAGTAGAAGGATGAGCAAAAGTATAATGTTGAGGATGACTACATAGAAGTAGATGAGGGAATCTGTGGTTGATAGAAAATTCTACATCATAACTATGGTGGTGAATATATGATTGCATTTTTCAAAACCTATAGAACTATATACCACAAAAAGTGGATTTTACTGTATGTACATCTAAAAACTCATTCATTCACCCACTAAATGATTTTTGAAGAGATTATTAGACTGTGTCCTTCATTCGCTAGTATTAAGAATAGCCTTGGGGGCTTCCCCGGTGGCGCAGCGGTTGAGCGCTGGGTTGCGAAGCTGCCCGCAGCCTCTGCAGCACCGGTTCGATCCCCGGCTGCTCCCCGGGTCCCGCATGGCACGCAGACCTCTCCTGCCGCCCGCTGCTCCCCTCAGCAGTGTACTTCGGTCCTTCTGCCTGCTCTGCTCCCCGCTCTGGCTCTGGTGAATTCTCTCACCCTCCCGCGCTTCTGACTGTACCCAGTGCATGTATAAACAAACAAACAAACAAATAAATAAATAAATAAAACATGCCTCTATTTAAAAAAAAAAAAATTAAAAAAAAAAAAAAAAAGAATAGCCTTGGTAAGTTCAGACAAGAATCGGCAATGCATGTTAAATCTAGGAGGTAAATTTGATGAAGATCATGGTTTTAAAATGTTTCCTCATAGACTGCTTATTACAGCAAGGGAAAAAATATTTCCACCTTGACTGGTAACCAAAATTATTACTAATAAGAGACAAAGGAGTTCCCAAAAAGGAAATATATTACTAAGATACTATTAGGTTAGGAAGGCAGAATATAACATGACTAAAAATAAAACAAACACCAAATGAAAAAATTTTTTGAAAGAATAGTATTGTTTTAAACACGTCTATGTCATAAAAGACAAAGAAAGGCTGTCAATATTCTGGATTAAAAGAAGCTAAAGAGATATGAAAACTAAATCCAATACCTGATCCTAGATTGGACCCTGTACAAAAAGGAAAAATGCCATAAAGGACATCACTGGGTTATTTATAAAAACTTGAAACCTGAAAGCAGATCATAAAAATACTATATCAATGTTAAATTTCCTAAAACTGAACTGTACTGTGGTTATGTAACAGAATATTCTTATTCTTATGAAATACCACCTCAAGTTTGTAAGGATAAGGGCCATGATGTAGTCACATTACTCTAAAACTCTTTATATAGCAGCAAAAGTAGTCCTTTTAAAATATGACAAAGAGATGATGTCCTTCTCTGCTTTGAATTCTCCATGGTTTCCCCGCTGAGTAAAAGCTGAGGTGGTTGTGTTAATCTCTAAGGCCTTCCTTTCTGGTGCAGATACCTCCAACCTAATCTCCTCCCAAGCACTTGCTCCCTCTTCTACTGTACCATACTGGTCTTCCTTTTCTTTGATATATGGCACACTTGTGCCTCTTCACCTCTACATTTCAGTCTCTTGCCTCCTTCAAATATTGACTCAAAAACCACTGCTCAATAAGAATTTTCAACATCCTACATAAAATAGGAACAGCATGTTGCTTTCTCTATCCCCCTTAATTTTTCTCCACAGCACTTGTTTGTTGCCTGCGTACAGGGCCTCAGTATGTTTTATTCAATATTACATCCCCAGGATCTGAAACAGTGCCTAACATATTTTAGAAAAGCAATAGTTGCTGAGTGAATGAGCAAACAAGACTATGTGTAGAGTAGCAGCAAAACACTCTTTAAAAAGTGATGGAGACAACGAAATAAGCCAGAATGAAAAAGAAAAATACCGGATGGTCTCACTCATAGCAGGAATTTAGAAAACCTAAATAAGGGACCAGGAAAAAGACTAATTATAATAAAGTAAAAATCAAAATCAACAAGCAACTATAAACCAGAGACACACACTACAAGGGGGGAAGAGGGAGTAGGATCAAAACAAGGGGGGTGGGAATTGGGGAATTGTATGGGGACTATAACATTATAATTTTAATTTCAGAATCACTTTGGTTTTAGTAAGAATGCCAAAATGAAAAATGATGTAAAAATATATAAAAGAAAAAAAGAAAAAAGGTGATGGAGAATTTGGGGGAGCAGGGGAGCTAGGGGTCACAGTATTTATTAAAAGTGGAATTTTTATCATTTTAAAATTATAATGGCGGCTCACAATGAGGATTCTATTGCTAAACAGTGAAAAGTTTGAGATGTTGATGTATAGTTTATACTTGAAAAAGGATAACATGAAAAAGTATGTACTCCTGACTCCTAGAAATACCCCAAGGAAAAATAACCAGAGCCTAATAGACTCTCAGCAGATTCAGTCTCCAACCTCAGTAGTGCCTCTGTTCTATACTCACTTTCTTTATTCATTCCTAGTTCACTTCTTGTTAGCAGAGAAGCTGTGCCAAAACTTGCCTCTCTCTTCAAGACTACAAACCTTCCCATGCCCCCTTATTCACAGTAACTGCCTAATTTACTGAGATCAAGGCCATTCTACTTCAATTCCCTTGATTCTAGTCTCCATTTCAATTTATGCTGCATCAACACGTTTTTCTCTAATACAAAAAAGTATAGTAGCTTCTTCCTTTGTAATTCTTTAAACAAAAGTAAGTATAATCTAAGGTCTGCATTTGCTGTAATTGCTTCTGTTCTCCATTTCACCTTACAACTAAAGCCTCGACTTAAAAAGTACTTTCAAAAATTGTTATATACAATTTTTTTATATACAAGTTGTTTCTAATATATATACAAGTTGTTTCTAATATACTTAGAAAAAGAAATGTAAAAGTCCAGAATGGTATTTCCAGAAACATTAAGTTCATTAGCTAGTTTCATATTTGGAATTGGCTAAACAGCAGGAGAAAGACATCATGAGCGGAGACCTTAAACATATCTAACATAAATTACAACAAATTTTCTTTGTTGTTCAGCATTAAACACACTATAGTGCCACTTTTGCAAATAATTTGTAAAGGTATTTTAATACCAGCCTGAGCCAGTTCCACATTGAAGGCCCTCAATGCAAAAGCAGAGCTCCTGGATTTTGCAGGCAGCAGCAGGGAGCATAAATAGCCTTCATAATCTCGTTTCCTATATTAAAAAAAAAAAATAGCAAAAGAGAGTTACTTTTTACTTTCAAAACTGTACATAAACAAAAAAATACTGACCAAAATTACTGAAAAGAAGCTTTATTTCAAAATAGGCCTGACATCTGCTATATTTTATACTTGTTTTCTACCATTACAAAAAATGTATCTGCTCCCAATCCCAGACCAGTTTAAAAAAAAGGAACAGCCAATCTTTATTCATTCATTTTGAATTATATAATAACACTTATAATTTTAATTTCAGAATCCCTTTGGTTTTAGTAAGAATGCAAATGAGCTACAGAAATAGATATCAAATTACTAATTGTTCCAGTATGGTATAAACAAATGTTTTAAAAATATATAAATACATAGAATATAGAGCTAAGACAAAAATAGATCTTGCACAAGAAACACATCCAAAATAACCCTACAAATAATTTCAGCAGCCAAATCTAACAAAGATTAATGGACAGTTAGAAACTAGAAATTCTAACTTCCTTATAAGTATTATTTCTTTAAGACTACTTACTGAGCATTTGTTATGTGCCAGCATTTTCACATACATCATCCCATTTAATCCTTACAAAGAAGGTATAAAGGTAGAAATTCACAAAAGAAAAAATAGCTGCATCTTAACTTTAACCATCCCAAGTGACAGAGACAGAATTAATAAACTCAGATTAGGTCTGCCTGCAAATCCAGGCTCTTAAATCACTAGAGTCAACAGCCTTCATTCCACACTAATACTATCATGGATAGATTGGTAGTATTACCAATTCCAAATCTGACCATTTGGAAATATATAAAGAAAAGGGGTCATGTAATACTCACAGACTATTATTGAAAGAATACATAAGAATTTAACAAGAATGATCATTCACCTCTGGATAGGAAAATTAGGACACTAATGCTATCAAAGAAGTGCACTGGACATAAGTGGTATGCATTTTGGTAACCTGAACTTTTAAATATTAAAAATGACAACTTTAAAACACACTATTCCTAAATAAATAAATAAATAAATAAATAAAAACACAGTATTCCTCACTTTTGTTTTCCATAATTTCAGTTTGCTACATGGCCAACGCAACACATACAACATGTTGAGATACCACATTCACAAAATTTTTATTAGCATGTATCATTATAATCATTATTATTAGTTATTACTATGAATCTTACAGTGTCTAAATTATAAATTAAACTTTATCACAGGTATGTATATATAGGAAGAAATAGTATATATAGAGTTCTGTACAATCTAAGGCTTCAAGACCTCCACTGGGGAGCTTGCAACATATCCCCATCACCCCCATAAAGGGGAACTACTATATATATATAAAAATAAATTTATTTATTTTAGCAGTCTTGGCTTTTATAATTCTTAATGTACTGATTTACTCTACTGCTATCTTGTTTCTCCTGTAAGTTATAACCAAATAATTATGGGGGGGATCAAAAAGGTAATTTAGAACAAATCACTGAAATGTATGGGAATTTTGCTGCGATGTAGTACATTTGCTAAAATAGAATTTTAAAAAGTTGGATTTACCACCCCAATGTAATTTATTTTTAGTACTTTTCATAAATCCTTAAGAAATGTCTCTATGCAACCATTATAAATCAGAAGGCCAGGGAAGGGCAAAGCCAGAGGTCCCTGCAGTCAAACCTGGATTTCAAGGCAGGACCCTACCCAGAGTTGCATGGTGACCTAATTTATCCAACTAGACTTCGCAAATGATTACAGCGACTACTATGTGCCAGCCCTTTCTGAGTTTAACAGGGTGAACAAAAGTGTTGTCAAACCCCTAACCTAATCAGACACCTCGGGTAGATTCCCAGATGTCTCTAAACCTCCATTTCCTCGTATATTATATAATAATATTGGCTTATATAGTACTCATTGTGCCCTTGCTATGGGCCACACATCGTTCTAAATGCTTTAATCCTCATAACCTTAAGTGATAGGTCTATCACATTTGGCTATCACAACTTGTAACGAAGATGAGTAAATTACTTGTAAACTATTTTGCATAGTGCCTGACACAGAGGAAGAACTCAAAGTTTGCAACTGTTAGAATTAAAATGAATTACTACTAGTCTTGCACATTTTAAAAAGCCTTGCAAGCAAAAATGTTTAATTAGTGAAAAAATAAGGTTCAGGTTCGGGCAAGGCGACAGCCTTCGTCTTCGACAGGCAGACGAAGGAATTTTGCAACCACTCTGTGACCAGTGAGAAAGTTCCTGTTGCCTCACTTTACCCACATACTCGCACCCGGAGTCAACCCAAGGGCAAGACAGATGGACGCGAGGAAGGCGCTGCGCCCGCCTGCGCCCGCCCAGTCCCGCCGCGCCCGCCCGGACCCTTGGGCTGCTCCTCCATCTCCCGCCTGGGCTCGCTCACCGCAGCAAATCCAGGCAGTAGAGGTCAGTGCCCAAGGCGCCCGATCCACCCGTCGCGGCCACGCAAAGCCCCGATCCTGGGGGCACCGGGAGCCGCCGCGCGCGCGCCCACAAGCCCCGGGGCGGCCGGCGGCGGCACAGACCGTGGAAGCCAAACCGCGCAGAACCCCATGCCGAACCCAGAATGGAGGCCGCCATGACAGGACGCCGCGCACCCTTCGACCCCGCGCCGTCAGCGCGAGGCCACGCCCCCACGTCCCCCGCGGGGCCTGCCACCGCCTCTTAGCGGCGGGAAGGCGGCCTCGGGAAGGCGGCCTCGGGACGGCGCTCGGAGAAGAGCCAGGGGTCGCTGTGGGTCTCTGCAAATGGGCCGCCGTCGCGCTCTGTGCCTGGGGGGGCCAGGAAAGCCCCGCCTCAATCCGGCCGATCCCGCCCGGGCTCTTCCCGCCCTTCCAAGTCCTCCAGAAATTGAATTTATCAAGGTAGGAGGATGGAGTTTGACAGTTTACTGGCATGATTTATAAATTTTATTTATGTCTTCGCATAGTATGTGAGTCTCCTGCCCTCAGGCCCTCAAATATTAGAATTGGGTTAACTCGGTATCACTTCACCTGGTCCAAGCCAGCAGCTGCCTACATCTGGATCTCAGTGATCTCAGCTCCTGCCTCCAGATCTGCCCATATTGTTCACACTGCAGCCAGACTATTCTTTCTATAATGTAAGACACTTCCCTGCTTGATAGTTTTTACTGCGCTTTGATAAAGTCTTGCCATGAAATGACCTCTGTTTACATTTCATCCTCGACCCTGGCCATTTGTGCTTGTAACTCCAATTTAATGTGTCTCTTTAAACCCAAAGGAGAATGCGCCTTTGTCTGGCCCAGAAAACTATCCAATCACCCTGCTTTAGGTTCTACTTCCTGAGACTGCTTCTATTCTCCTTATGCAGCAGAATGTACTCTCTTCCCTCTGAGCTTCTGTCCCTTAGTTTTGACAAACAAGCCCTAGGGTTTTCAATACCACAGTTAAAACTTGGGGGGGTGGGGGGGTATCATTCATTAACATCTCCAGTTCTCATCTCCTGCGCTACTAGGCTTTTTCATTTGCATATCTTACCATTACTTCAAAATCCGTATGTCAAAAATCCCAATCATATTAACTTCTCTTTTTAGTCTCTTTAGTTATCCCAACAGTGTCCCCCTTCTTACAGACAACCAGGGGAAACACTTTGGCATCATCTTTACCTCTTCCCTCCTTTATATCTAATGTAATCTAACTGATCAGGTCCTATCAATTCTTTTTCCTTCACATTTTCTCATTCGCAACATAGATCTTGTAAAACTACCTAGATTCATATCCTGACTCTACTGCCTATTATCTTTGGGACCTTACATGACAGCCTCCCCTTTTTTCATGCCTCAGATTCTTCACCTGTAAATGGAAATAATAGATTCTATCTTACAATTTTCTTTTTTTTTTTTTTTTAATAGAGGCATGTTTTATTTATTTATTTATTCATTTGTTTTGTTTATACATGCACTGGGTACAGTCAGAAGCGCGGGAGGGTGAGAGAATTCACCAGAGCCAGAGCGGGGAGCAGACAGGCAGAAGGACCGAAGTACACTGCTGAGGGGAGCAGCGGGTGGCAGGAGAGGTCTGCGCACCATGTGGGACCCTCCTCCGGTGGCCGGGGAGCAGCCGGGAATCGAACCGGTGTCGCAAAGGCTGCGGGCAGCTTCGCAACCCAGCGCTCTACCGCTGCGCCACCGGGGAGGCCCTATCTTACAATTTTCTTATAAGATTAAATGAGTTAATACATTTAAGATACCCAGGGCAGTGCCTGACCAATAAATAGCATTCAAGCCAAGTCAACTACGTAGGGAAACATTAAGAAAGATGTTTAAAAAGCACCAAAATGACCGCTGTGAGTCTCCATTGAAAGCTAGACATTGTCCAACTTTTTTCCAAGTTATCTGATTCAGTGAGACCTTTGTGCCTTTCTTTGCCTATGAGCTAGTTTATCAATACAATTTTGTAAGTTACAGAATAGTCACAATGCAAATTATTCTTATCCATTAATATGCAAATTATGTCCATTGGCGATTCAGTTGATATTTTGTTCTGTAAAAATTGACCAGTTTTGCCAGTTTGATATCTTTCATATTTGTTAAGCAGATTTACTTAATCATTCCTGGCTGCCTTAGAATATTTATGTGAATATTTCTTTGACTTGGTTGCAACAGCTTAACTAGTTCCCTCAATAATTCATGAGTTAAAATGAAATTTTTGAGATGTGTTTATTTTATAACTGTACAAGAGTCATGATTATACAGTTTTGTTAAAAATTATTTTCTAATAGTTATCATTAGCGGTTAACTTCTCTTCCATTTTATGCCCAGTATTGAGTTTCACATCTTTCTGATGGATGTGTTTCATTTGTTTCTTTGTATTTAGAGCAATCAATCTATACTAAAAATACAGCTATTTCTAGTAATCACAACTATATTAAAGATGTTATAAACCTAGGGGAAAAAAAAGATGAAGGGAGAATTTAAACCTGAAGGGAGAATTCCATTTAGGGCAATAGAGGAAAGATTAAGAATTTTAAAAATTATGCTATGGATAACACGTTATCACCAATTAACATTTATTGAACTTTTATTATTTGCTAGCATTTAAGTTTAATTTTTTTTATAATTATGAGCACATGAAAATATTTCCCATCTAATTTCTTTTTTTTTTTCTTAAGATTTAAGATTAAGAGACTTCACCAGAGCCAGAGCGGGGAGCAGAGCAGGCAGAGGGACCGAGGTACACTGCTGAGGGGAGCAGCAGGCGGCAGGAGAGGTCTGCGTGCCATGTGGGACCCTCCTCCGGTGGCCAGGGAGCAGCCGGGGATCGAACTGGCACTGCAGAGGCCGCGGGCAGCTTCGCAACCCAGCGCTCAACCGCTGCGCCACCGGGGAAGCCCCCATCTAATTTCTTGACACCAAAACCAATATGTTTGAAATATGCATACATTTTTTATGCAGTCAGGGTTATAATCAAGGCAGAAGCTCAGTGCTGAGCCAAAGGATTAACAATGTAAGTAACCACAGAAGCACAATTTGTTTAACTTAGCTTTTAGCTCAGTATGTCCTCTTTAAGTATATGATTCCCTGGTTATTATAACTGATCCAATTGTATAATTGTAGATGAAGTGTAATAACATTTCTTCTCAAACTTTAACACAATAAAGATTGTCCTTTGGTTGACTACTATATTTTAAAGAATTATGCCTTATTTCACAATATTGCTCCATCTCTAAATTTTTCCATGGCCTCTTAATTAAGTAATAAGTTTCAATCCTTATGTTAAAAGTCAGGCTGGCCTGTTGCCTTTTACATGGCACATTGAGTATCTAAAATGTCTGAAAGAGTCTATACTAGATCACAGCTAGCTAATCCTTCCTGGACAAGAATACTCCACACATTCTCTCTTCCTTCTCCAAGTTTCCTAGGGATCAACTGACTTCTCAGTTCACTTTCTTCTATTACATGTTTTGCATTATATATATGTATATAATATATGTGTATAGTATATGTACATAATATGTATATACTTACACATAGAGAAATCTGGAAATAAAAGCAAAAGTAGGAAAAAAAGTCATGTAAAAACCTGTAATTCAGTTACTGATCGTATTTTGGTATTTTCTTCCACCTTTTTTCTGTGCATAGACTTTTTGCATGTTTTACATATTGCCTATACTGTATCATTTGATTAACCTATCATAGTCATAAACATTTTCATACGCCATTATTTTACTTATTTTGACACACTTAATGACAGTCTACTTTGGCTACCCTGTAGGCAGTTGCTAAAATTACAGAGTGAACAAATAGGTTTCACATCCTCAAAAAGCTTATTCTTTAGTAGTAAAGACTTTCAAGCAAAGATCATCACAAATAAATATAATTACAAAATATGATAATTGCTATTGTATTAATAAGGATATAACTCCACCTACTAAACTAATATACAAAATTATAGTAACAAAAAAGATAAGACATGTATTCCTCTTTCAAGTAGCAATTCGAGTATAAATCTAGAATTGCTTGGAGTATCCAAGGTTCCGAGGGACCCAGGCCCTCTCAGTCTGGTTGCTCCACCATCTGAGAATATAGCTCTCACCTGTTATCCAAGATGGCCCACGGCTAGATCCACATACCAGCCAGCAGCAGTTGTGAAGGGCAAGAGGCAAGGTGCCCTTCTCTCTAAGCCATGACTTCCAACCATTTTTGTACCATGGTATATGGCAATATATATGCTTCTGTAAGCATGCCACAATAGTAAGTAAGCTCTAGGAGTAAGCCTAACTTCAGATTTCAAGTAGTAATGAACATAAGCAATGTTTTAGATGTCTGCAAAAACTGTTTATGATATGAAAGTATTTGTAATTTCTCTTGGTGGCAATATTACAGTTACTACTAATACTTTTTGCCTTTTTGCCTATATTCATAATTAAAGCAAATGCTAAATTTCAGTTAGTGAAAATACAGATGTCATTTTATTTTTCTCGTTCAAGTTCACAGACACAATGAACTCTCTCTCTCTCAGCTTCCTTGGGTCAAGAAACTTCCTGCTTTAAAGGCACAACTCAGAATTTGTACATGTTACATCTGCTCATAACCCTTAAGTCAAAACTTAGTTTTCTACAAAGAAGACCTAAGAATTAGTCTTTATTCCAGGTAGCCATGTGCTCAGTTAAAAAACAGGAGTCCAGAGCCTTCCTGGTGGCACAGGGGGTTAAGCGTCAGCACTGTGAAGCAATCCACAGCTACTGCAACATGAGTTTGATCCCCAGCCAGGGAGGTGACCCATGGTGCAGCAGACCTCTCCTGTCTTGCCCGCTGCTCCCCTCAGCAGTGTATTTCAGTAGATCTGCCTGTTCTGCTTCCCACTCTGTCTCTGGTGAATCCTCTCACCTCTGTACCTCTGGCCTGCACCCCAGCTCTTGTTTGCATAAATAAATGAATCTTTAAAAAAAACAAAAAACCCAGGAGTCCTATTATATTTTTCTTTTTTTTTTTTTTTCTTTTTTTTTTTTTTTTTTTTTTAATAGAGGCATGCTTTATTTATTTGTTTGTTTGTTTGTTTGTTTTTTTTGTTTATACATGCACTGGGTACAGTCAGAAGCACGGGAGGGTGAGAGAATTC